TATAATAGAATAATTAAAATAGTATAAAAAGTTAATTTAGATTGTTTTTTACTTAATATAAAAAAATTATAAAGATTAGTTAAAATTTGAATAATTTTTATTAGAAGCAATTATTAATTTTTATATTGAGGTACAGATATTTTTGCACTGACCTATATATTTTATTAATTATAATATATAATTCTCTTAATAAATAATATTAAATATATTAAAAATTAAATAAATTTTGAATTTTTTTATGTTAAAAATTTCTTATATGAAGAGTTTCTTATCAAAAGTCATATGTATGTCATAAAAAATTAATTTGGATTGATCAATCTTACTAGTGCTCTAGATGAATAATAATAAATAATTTCACAATGAAAGTATATTTAATAAAATCTTGCCTTCTTGGCTCAGTTGGCAGAGCGTCTGCCTAGTAAGCAGAAGGTCACCAGTTCGATTCTGGTAGAAGGCATTTAATTAATTACAATAACAATATTAATCCATTCGTTTTCATAGATAGCCTCATTTTGACGTGTAATTTCATAATTTTATCAAGAGGATTTTCTGTCGGTGTTTTACTAAACCGAAATCAGACATTTAACAATATCTAATCGTAAAGTGGTTCAAAATTTATATTGCTGAACCTTGGATTTAAGAGAATTCCACGAAAGTCCAATCTCTTGTTTAATATCAAAAATATCACCATCTCTTGCCAAATAAAAGACAATAGCAAGTAATGATGTTGAAGATAAAAAGTTCTATAAAAAAATTGATTCTCCAACCAAAAAGTGAATCTCAAGATCTTCTATCGATCTATATGCATCCATTTATCGATCGAATTTGTTCCAATCAGACTGTATAATTAATTATCTTATTAAAGACTCGTTTATAAAGACAATAACGTAGAAGACAACTGGCCAAAACTTTAATACACTCAAACCTTTCCTGGCACAAAAGCACTACTTTTTATTCTTCATCCCCTCTTTCCTAGGATAAAATGGTAGACCAAATCCACTCAATAATAGTCTTGCTTCTTGATTTTTTGGGGCCGTCGTCTTGAAAATAATATCAAAACCAGTCATCATAGGATACATATCAATATTTGCTTCGATCTCTGGAAATAGGGGTAATGCTCGATGCGGAAGACCCATTGCAATATTTCCTCGAGTGTCGCCAGCACTATCAGGAATTCCGTACCATTCTTTAAGACGTGGTAAGACTATCTCGACCAATTTATCGAGAAATGAGTACATTGATGGCCCTTGAAGTGCAATTTTACATCCAACTGGCATCCCTGCAAATAATAGTTCAACACGTAGTGCATCATAATTTATTATTCGTGCTCTAGACGAAATCAATCAAATCGTTACCTTCTCGTAATTTCCAATTCGATACATTATTCTTTGCATATACAACTGTAGGCCGTTCAGACGTTATCACTTGCAATGCTATCAAACCACTCATTAAATGCTGTTTATTTTGAACCGCATCACGCATCATGCAATGTAAATCAATTTCTTGTAATTGTGGCAAATTTTTATTAATCATTGATTTAGGAAGAGGTCTAGGTAGATCTTTCGTACGAAGTGGTTTTGGCTTTCGATTTCTTAAATAAGGATTCTCAGCCAGCTCAATTTCGTCCAAAACTCTCGGTGCCGCGAGATGATCATCATTTTCGTCCGGCTCAATATCGTCCAAAACTTTTGGCGCCGCGAGATAATCATCATCCAGCTCGGTGTTATTCAAAATGCTCTGCGCCGCGGGATAATTATGTCTATATAATAAAATCATCATATCATCTGCAAGAGTATTCAAATAGTGCTCTTCGAACCTGTTTATAGAGGTTCTGCCGGCGAAGAAGCCAGGGTCATCAGGAAGGTATGAAGGTCGTTTTGGCGTATATCCGGATACTTTGGGTATTGATGGCTTTCTTTTTTTGTAGTGAAATGAGGCTATATTTACTTTATTTAAGATTACTGATGTATTATGTGAAATTAGTAAATATGCAGAATTAAAACTTAAAATTGTTTTACGCGTTATTGAAATTGATAATGCCATTATTTTGTCAGGAATAAATCACTAAGTCGAATTTTACTGGTAACGTGATATCTATCTGAATCTTTGGACAGATGTCACGAGATAGACTGGTGATCTAATATGTCTAATATGTCTATTAACCAATAATTTTTCGAAAAAAAAATTTTCCGGAATCAAAGAGTGAAAAAGACAAGTCAAATGTGTTTGTAATAATCGATTTATCCACGTGATAGCGAAATTTTCCCGCCCTTCTTTGTAGTTTAACGCGGAACTATGTTTTCTTATCAGCGTCATTATTAAAGTACAATTTCCTCGAATCAGGGAGTTTATTTATATTGTTAAAATACCAGGTATTATACAAGAAACCGCTCTCAAAAACCATGTTTTAAAATTAGATAATTGCTATTCCATATATAGAAGATCGGTTACATGTACACAATGTTTGATGTAATTCTTTATCATGTGATATGTGAATCCTTTGAGATATTGAAATTACATTGTTCCTCTGTATGTGTAATTTATCATTATCAAAATGACAACTAATTTGATTATTTCGAATAAAACGAACGCAAAAAGAGAGACTTTGTTTGTTTGTATTCAACTAATTTTATGACAGATGGAGAAGTAAATTAATATGTAGGTGAATTATCATAAATTGTTTGATATTTGATCATGTTGGGAATATTTTTATAGAAATACAAAGCATATTATTTATTATATATATATGACAAATAAATTTTAATATATATCGATATGTATATATATATATATATCGATATATATATATATATATATATATTTCTCTCGATGTATATCTTTACCCAACCACGCTTCTTTACGAAAGAGGTTCCTATGTACGTAAAGTAGTAACTATTCCGCCCTCCTGCAGAAAGATAAAAAATTGTTGTTGCTTTGTGAAAATAAATAAATAAAATTTTTTTGGAACCGAGGAACAATAAAATTGGTCTATATAAGTTCCTGTATTTTCTTTTCGTTTGGCGGCTGCCTTTTTCTCTTTCAATGGTTTTTTAAAATTATTTGTTCGAGTTTTTCGCTGGTTTTTTCTTGTTGTTTTTTGTTTGGTTTTGTACTATTTCTATTTATTTGTTGGTTATTGGGATTTTTTTGGTTGTTTGAGGTTTTTGGTTAAAAAAACGAAAAAAGCTTTAGCCAAATAAATTTTTTATCGGACTTGTGGAAAATTATAATATCTTTCTTCCCTAATATCTCCAAATTCTATTCACTCGTATTTTACCATTATTTATTCTATTGTACGTGTGTGGAAAGAACTATTATCTCTCGGTGTGTTGCAACTTTTTATTGGTTAGTCCTGGGAATTTGAATTCAAATTCAAATTTTTTTGTTTTCAGAATTGTATTAATTATGAGACAATATTAAATAAACATTTATCTTCTTTCAATAACTATACGTATATACACATATATCATGCAGACACAAACTGAATTTTTTGCGTTGGGTTTGACGCCGACCGCTCGGTCGTTATTTGGTTAGTGCGTAGGTTCTTTTTTTTGAAAAGAGAGAGAGACAAAATTTTCGTGATACCGTGCATGAAAAGACACAGCGGAGCACGCAAATACATATTAACACCTAATACAATAGTAATGACAATTAAAGGAAGACAACTGTTTGTTGGAAATGTGAGTTTAATAATATTATTGTGGGGTGAAATGAAATTTGATCGCATATCATCTATAAACTGATTATAATGATTACATCAAATTAAATTTGCATTATAACAGTTACCATTTCTTGGTAAGTACAAAAACGCATGTATCTTTCATATTCATAAAATATGTAAAACATTAACAATTCATTTGATTCTATAAAAGTTGGGTGGCAAGACTTAAAGGTATTCATTAATTCGTGAATTTTATTAACATAACCTCGTGTTGATTGATGATTGGTGCAGCTAACTAAGAACAAAACGTTGTTAAATTATCATCATCTTTATAGGACCTGTTTAGATCAGCTGGTAACGTACAACGCGCAAACATTATGCAAAATCGTGATGGTCGATCAAAAGGACACGGTATAGTGCTTTACGCGACTGTGGCCGACGCTCAGAAGGCTATTTGTAAGTTATTGTTATCATACTATGTAAAATTCAGAATAATAAAAAATTTAATATTCATCTATTTTATTATCATCTTAAAATATTAGCAACTTTTGATGGATATGAATGGCATGGAAGGAAATTAGAAGTTCGCGAAGTAAGAGAAGACTGATTGTTTTTTAGTGGGAGGGGGAGTGGTGAAACTTTATTATTCGATTCTAAATCTCATTGTTTGTAAACAGGATCGAATTGCAATGGAATATCCTCCACCACCTCCACGCACTGAAGGCGCAAATGCATTAAATAATCAGAATGAGGTACTTATGATTCTTTATCCTTCCCTTAGAATTCAAATCTCGAATAATAATAACAAATTCTCGATAAAAAGATTGAAAGAGAAAGTAATCTTTCGACACCAAACGACAGTATAACAGTGATCACTACTACATCAACAGAAGACGACAACAGCAATAACAATAACAACAACAACAATAATAACAGCAGCAGCAACAACAACAACGATGACAACAACCACCACGACAACGACAACAACAACAACAATAATAATAGTAGCAGTAGTAGTAATAGTAATAGTAGTAATAATAATGTATCGACGCAAGCCTCGTCACCCATTGAATTTTCATCATCAGAGAATAACTCGATTAATGGGACTTCATATGCAGTGGACGAAGCAAATGCGAGTTCTAGTACTTCTACAGCTACTACTATAGTTGGTAGTGGTGGCGGTAATGGCAATGTAAATGTAAATGGAAATGGAAATAATAATAATAATAATAATAATAATAATACTAGTAATAGTAATAGTAATAATAGTAGTAGCAGTACTCTCCAGAGGCAATTGTTTGTTGGTAATGTGAGTATAATCTCCGAAAGAGCATCATTATTGCATTTTACATCACATCATTTTGCATCAGCACGTCAAATCACATCGAATTTAATCAGATCTTTTCATTTTTTATTATACAAAAAAAAATAGTTACCGTTTCGCGTACGATGGCAAGACTTGAAAGATTTATTTCGAAAAGCTGGGACTGTCTTACGTGCTGATGTTGCAATGGGTTACGATAACAGATCAAAAGGTCACGGCACTGTGTTATTTGCGACTTTAGAGGATGCGAAAAATGCAATTGGTAATTGTACTCGCTAGTAGTATAACTAGACGAATGACCAATATATTAATTTTTTGATACTAATTTTTTGATCATTAAATTTTTAATCGTTTTATAGCAATGTTTAATAATTATAATTGGCAAAATCGCACACTGGAAGTCCGTGAAGATCGTGGATTCGTGGACTCTAACAACAATTATAATTCAAATAATAGCAATAACGCGAATGGGAGCAGTAATAACATTATTACAAATAACATTACCAATGTTAATAACAATCATATGAATATCGTAAATAATCAATTCTCGGATTTGATGATGCGTCGTCCTATTGACCCGGCTTTGAACCAACATGCACAAAGTTTATTTGCTCCTCCTGGTGCTCCGATGATACCACCTGGTAGTATTTTTTATGGAGTATGTATGTTTATTTTCATCCAATTCTTATTTCATTCTTTGTATTTTTCTATTAATTTTAAATCTATTTAATTATATGGTAGCCAAGAGGAATTCAAGCCCCGGCTCCTAACCACGCTGGACGATTGCTTTTTGTTGGAAATGTAATTAACTATTGATAGATTTATCCTTTTTTTTTTTTAATTAATCTTTATTTGAAAAATACTGTTTCTTCCATATTAATAGCTCCCGTTCAATTGTCAATGGCAAGATTTAAAAGATCTTTTTCGTAATGCGGGTAATATAATTCGAGCAGACGTGTTCACCAATTACGATGGGAGAAGTCGAGGCTTTGGTACCGTTTTATTTGCTACTCCGGAAGATGCACGTAACGCTGTCGGTAAATATAGAATTTAAAAAGAAATTAATATATCATTGACTAAAGTTGTCTGTCAAAACTTTATACTGGTTTGAAAATTCACCGTCCGAAACTCTGAATCATAAGGTTTCGAATTTTGACCAGTTAAAATAGGTTTTGCCAGGCAACTTATTATTGACACGTTTCTATAACATATTAAATCTTTACTAAACTATAAATACAGCAATGTACAATGGATATGACTATCAAGGGCGAAATCTTCGCGTACATTTCGATAAATTCACGCTACCAAATATACCACCACATCCTCATCACCCAGGATCGCATCCACCGCCACATCTCGCAGTTCATCCTCATTCACACCCTCACCATCCTCCCCACCCGCATCATCGACCACCGCCACCTCATCACGCACTGATCCCACATAGTTTTCATATGGGTTTACCTCATCCAATTCATCATTTTATAGCCCCAACACACCTTGGACCATTTTCTCCACCTCTAACAACGCCTCCGCCACTCACAAGTCCGCCACCTTATCCCACGAACGGTTACAATCCCTTAGCACATCATTTAGCGGGAACTACCACACTAAATTCTTCGACGAATGGAAATTCCACATTTCAACCAGTTCCGCCGCTGATCTCTTCCGCTGCAGGGCCAACACACGGAAATAATAGCACACAACTTTCCACCACCACCACCAACAACAACAATAATAATAATACTAATAATGCCAATAATACTAATAATAATAGTAGTAATAATAATAATAATAATAGTAGTAGTAATAATAATAATAATAATAATAACAATAATAATAATAATACGACACAAGTGCATAATCTATCGCAGGATCAATTATTATCTGCACAATCTCAGTCTGGACAATTTTCCGGGTTTGGTCCTATCGGAAAGAACCATTTTGTTCCAATGCTTGGTGCTAATGCTTCATCGTTATCTGGATTTGGCTCGGTTGGTGCTACATTTCCGACTAATAATTCTACCGGTGCTAATGGTAATGGCATAGTGACTACAACTACTATTGGGAGTAATGGAATCGACTCAAACTTCAATTCGCCATCGACCAATTCTACTAACGACAATAATGGAATTCAAAGTTTGAGCTCAGCTATTACAAACTTGCATCTTAACCCAAATCCGGCTCAACCATTATTTTTCCATCCTCCACATCATCATCCGCACCATCCGCATCATCGTCCACCCACATATCATCTACCAGTTGTTGCTGCTGTTGCCACTCATCATTTACACCACCCACATCAACAGCCTAGTCACACACATCATTCGCATCATCATCCTGGTGCAATCGGAAGTGGTATTATAGGTGGAATAAATAATGGCGTTAATCATCTTCATCAACAACAGCAACTTCATAATACCAATACACTTTCGCATGCGACTGGAACAAACGGAACATCGTCATCATCTGTCGCGGCTGTGACTGTAACGAATGGATTGAACGGTGTGACGCATAATACTTCATCCACGCCCAACGGAGTAATTGATTCAGATACAACTGGGGGTAATGGGGTTATTAAAGCGACCTCCTCCACTAACGAAACCAATAATAGTTCAATAAATACTACTACAACTACCAGCACTAATACTAATTCTACCGCCTCTTCCGCTTTAATTGTTTCATCAGCCGGATTATGGAATAATAGCGCGGCAAACATGCTTACAACTGCCACTACCACAACTAATGGATCAATTGGAACTTCAGGAGTGATGGGTATCGAAATGGCATCATTGGCAGCAATGGGACCTGTAATGCCAACCGCAACATCACAATCAGTTTACGTTCGGAATATTTGAGATTTTCCAGTGGCTTGAATTTTAGAGAGGGCTGGCTGATTTGATGATAATAATAATTATTGTATAAATTTCTTTGAACAACTAGTTTTGGGATTTAATTTTGAATCCCTCTATGTATATATTATATAAATGAAAAGGTTCGAAAACTTAGAAAAGGCTGGAGTGTGGATTTATATAAGTTGCGCGGCTAAAGAAATTTCTTTGATGGTGAAGACAGTTAGGTGATTAGGCTTTTACTTTTTTTCTGTTGGGTTTGTTAGATTAGACGTAATTGGAGTGTATATAATCAATTGTTATTAGTTTATTATGTTGGAAAGATGAACATTATTTTTTCCTTTTTACTAAATTTATTTTTTTCTGAGATAGTTTGGTTTTTATTTAGTTGAAGTTTGTTTTCATCGCATCACAAAAAACGTTTTCATTTTATTTATCTCCCCGTTTCAACAAAAATCCTGTCTATCCTACCAATTATCACATAATGCCGCATACAAAAGTATAGTTACGATGATTATTCTTTTTAAAGTGCGAATTTAGAATTTTTCACGTAAATATTATATATAAATAAATAAATAGACAACCAAATACAATAATAATTTCATCACATAATTCTTCCTTCCTGAATATTTTATTTTTCAATGAATAATTATTGTTTTTGAATTTTATTTGTCGTTGATTATCCAAATAATTTGTTTTGGATGAAACTTAATGAAACTTAATGTACATATGTTTTTAACTTAAGTTGTGGGGTGACCACAAGTTATTAATCCCAATAGTCCATTGCCCTAGGACGATGCAGTTTCGAAACTCTAGTGATAGCGCTACTACTACTACCACTATCCCTGACATGCTCATCCGATTTTTGCCTCTCCACATAATACTTAGGCTCTTCCTCCGCCATACGTTTTTTCTCTTCTTTATGATAATTTTTTGTCCGATGATTTGATTTATTATCATTTATGTCTTTATGTTTACCTGAACGTTTTTTGGATTTCTTCTTCGAAGACGAGCGTTCCTTTTTATGACGTTTAGATCTGACTTTATGACGGCGATGAACAATTTCGCTACTACTACTTTCAGAAGAACCGGTCTGAGAATAATTTGAATCTGAATCATCTTGTTTTTTGTGTTTTTTAGAAGCGGAAGAACGCTGCTTGGAGCTAGTTGATTTCTTGTGATCTTTGTGGCGGCGACGAGCATATTCGTCGTCTGAGTCATCTCTCTTTTGTTTTTTGGAGATATGTTGATGCGATATTCGAAGCTCTTCATGGTGACGGGTAGAATCATCTGCAATGTTCTCTGTAGTGGATTTTGTTTCTTTTACAGATGAAGATATATATTTTTCTTCCTTGGCATTGGTGGTTTTTGATTCATCACGAGAAGAAAATGAACGCTTACGATTCGGTTCGGTTTGTGGAATATCATCGAGGAAAGACAGTGGTCCAGTGGTAGTAGATATATGATCATCTTTTTTAGTATTGGGCGCTGCCTCAGATGATTTAAAATGGGATGAAGTTGATGATAGTAGTGTCCGATCATGGGCTCTATCCGATTTTGGGATAAACATCGGTCGAAATGATGTTTCTGATTTCTCTTGTTTAATAATAGGAGATGACGAAGATACTGAAACAATGCTAGTGACTTGAGTGCTTATTGGTTCATCGGGCTTTGGTACATCTATCGAATGAGAGACTAAATTTGGCGGAACCTTTCTCGTGTAAAGTAGAGTAAAGGTTAATAACTTGATTAGGAAAATTAAAAATTATTATAGTTCTCACCTTTTTATTTGAAGTTTCTTGCTCACTTTCAGAATCTGATTCCGATTCAAAGATAGCCTTAAATATATCCATAGAAGGACGTACGTAATCGATAGCTACCGTCTCTTTATTCTCCGAATCGAGCTTAGATTCTTCAGACACCTTTTTTTGCAAACTTTCAGACTGCGTTATTGTTTGAGTGAATGTCGGAGCGCTGCTATTATTAGGATTGTTCACAAATAACTCTGTACTTCTCTCTTGCATTATTTCGTCCATTTTTTCTTTACTTAATGGCTGTTGCTGTCCTTTTTGCGTTTTACCAGTCGACGAATCACTTTTATGTTCCGGGTGTGGATTTGCAATGTTGAATCGTTTGCATAAAAGACGATTTGGGTAAAATTCTGTTCTTGTGCGGGTGAGAGCACCAAACATGTTCATCTTTGCTGCTGCTTCTGCCGCCGAACGTGAATCTTCAACAACAGTGGTAGAGGTTGTGGTTGATAATGTTGTGGATATTTCTTGTGATGACTTTTTACTGGATGGAGCTCTTAATCCTCCTTCGGGCTGTTTGAATTCTTGAATTATAGAGGATGGACTGGCACTAGCGAAACGAGATGCAATCATGCTTGACATTGGACGAAATATACGGGCTGCTTTCGCAAAATCATCTAGTTCTTTGCTAAATTCATCAACAGTATAATCCTAACACACAATCAACATATTAATTGTTTAATTTATAAAAAATGAACACAATCTCACAATATATTTAGAATTACCTCCGGAAGCCTCAATTCAACTTGGGATAAACCAGCCTGATATTCCAGGAATTGCTTATATCTGGTTTGCTTCGGTAAATTATCACCAAATGGTATAAATCCCCTCAAAGCTGCCATAGCAACATCTTTTTCAACTTTAGGTATAACAAATTTTGGCGGCACGGTATATTCCGTCTTAATTTCAATGTGAGCCTCAATCAAGTTACTGAGCCGCTCTTTGTCTCGACGTGAAACGAAATCAAAGACAGAACGTGCAGGAGCTTGTAAAGGATTCTCGCCCAGTTTCGCTGCACGCTATTAGGTCAAGATGATGAGAAAAAAGTTCATGACCTTTTCTAACTTATAAATGCAAAAGAGAATTTAGTTTACCTGATCAGCGATAATAGCCAAAGTAGTCACTTTTTGACTAGTTTCGCTCGGCATAGTTTTTTGAGTTTCTGCAGGACCAGGTGTATCAAAATAGTGAATCGGCACGAATCCTGTCGGTATCCCCGGTGGTGTGAACCTGATTAATTTATGAGCATCGCGCGTGTTCAACTAGAACTATATGACGATCTCAAAAGGCAATTTAAAAATTCTAGATACTTGCCATTTATTGAGAGGAAGAGGCCGTCGTGCCAAAACAAATCCAGCTAATGGTTCACTGCCGTCATAACATAATCGCAAAGATGATATTTTTTTACTGGATACGAAAGTTTGTGGTTTTTTGTCTTGCTTTCTTCCTACAAATATAGCCTCCTCATCTTCATCTATTAATAAAGTCTGATAGTCTCGAATTGAAGTAGTGTCGTATATATCCTCATCGTCCTCGTCTTCTAAAGCACCGACACCAATTCCGCCTTTCATGGGCAATGAACTTGCTGTTTTAAAGTGACTTTGCTCGACTAAATTTCGAGAATTAACGAATTAAATTAAAATTTGATATGGAAATAATGTACAGAAAGTATTTTTTTTTTATTACGCACCCTTTGAGTTTGATTTTACTTTAGAAGCAAATTCCGGTGCATTTTTATATGGATCAAACCCAAGTCCGTAAGTATTGACTTTATGGTCAAATTTAATTATCGCAGAATCTTTTGGAGCAAAAGAAATTTCTTGGGTATACACCTCATCTTCATCATCTTCCTCTTCTTCATTGCCATCATCTTGTAGTTTCCTCTTGTGAACACGAGGTCCAATGCCCTGACCTTGGCGCCACCCCATCTTCTTCAACAATCTCACGCCTATTTACATGTTATTGTTAAATTAGAATCGTGTAAAGATGTCCGCATTTCTAAAAAATAATTAATAATACGCACCTACAGGTTCCTTACTAGGCACAATTAAATCTTCTATCAGTCGTTCAGAAATAACCGAAAATCCGCTAGATTAAAAAAACTACTTTAGAAAATTATGCAACAGCAAACCAGTGTTCTGATTTAATATACGTTTTTTACCTTCTGCTTTCCTTAATAGAGGCAGTTAATGCTTGTTTCTGTGCTTTTTCGCGTTCTGTAGAACCCAAAAAATCAAATTCCTCAGTTGTCACCAATTTTTGATTTTGACCTAATTCCTACTTCCCAATGACAGAGAATCTAATTTAGACACCTTTTTTAATTAATCTTTATTTGAAAAATACTGTTTCTTCCATATTAATAGCTCCCGTTCAATTGTCAATGGCAAGATTTAAAAGATCTTTTTCGTAATGCGGGTAATATAATTCGAGCAGACGTGTTCACCAATTACGATGGGAGAAGTCGAGGCTTTGGTACCGTTTTATTTGCTACTCCGGAAGATGCACGTAACGCTGTCGGTAAATATAGAATTTAAAAAGAAATTAATATATCATTGACTAAAGTTGTCTGTCAAAACTTTATACTGGTTTGAAAATTCACCGTCCGAAACTCTGAATCATAAGGTTTCGAATTTTGACCAGTTAAAATAGGTTTTGCCAGGCAACTTATTATTGACACGTTTCTATAACATATTAAATCTTTACTAAACTATAAATACAGCAATGTACAATGGATATGACTATCAAGGGCGAAATCTTCGCGTACATTTCGATAAATTCACGCTACCAAATATACCACCACATCCTCATCACCCAGGATCGCATCCACCGCCACATCTCGCAGTTCATCCTCATTCACACCCTCACCATCCTCCCCACCCGCATCATCGACCACCGCCACCTCATCACGCACTGATCCCACATAGTTTTCATATGGGTTTACCTCATCCAATTCATCATTTTATAGCCCCAACACACCTTGGACCATTTTCTCCACCTCTAACAACGCCTCCGCCACTCACAAGTCCGCCACCTTATCCCACGAACGGTTACAATCCCTTAGCACATCATTTAGCGGGAACTACCACACTAAATTCTTCGACGAATGGAAATTCCACATTTCAACCAGTTCCGCCGCTGATCTCTTCCGCTGCAGGGCCAACACACGGAAATAATAGCACACAACTTTCCACCACCACCACCAACAACAACAATAATAATAATACTAATAATGCCAATAATACTAATAATAATAGTAGTAATAATAATAATAATAATAGTAGTAGTAATAATAATAATAATAATAATAACAATAATAATAATAATACGACACAAGTGCATAATCTATCGCAGGATCAATTATTATCTGCACAATCTCAGTCTGGACAATTTTCCGGGTTTGGTCCTATCGGAAAGAACCATTTTGTTCCAATGCTTGGTGCTAATGCTTCATCGTTATCTGGATTTGGCTCGGTTGGTGCTACATTTCCGACTAATAATTCTACCGGTGCTAATGGTAATGGCATAGTGACTACAACTACTATTGGGAGTAATGGAATCGACTCAAACTTCAATTCGCCATCGACCAATTCTACTAACGACAATAATGGAATTCAAAGTTTGAGCTCAGCTATTACAAACTTGCATCTTAACCCAAATCCGGCTCAACCATTATTTTTCCATCCTCCACATCATCATCCGCACCATCCGCATCATCGTCCACCCACATATCATCTACCAGTTGTTGCTGCTGTTGCCACTCATCATTTACACCACCCACATCAACAGCCTAGTCACACACATCATTCGCATCATCATCCTGGTGCAATCGGAAGTGGTATTATAGGTGGAATAAATAATGGCGTTAATCATCTTCATCAACAACAGCAACTTCATAATACCAATACACTTTCGCATGCGACTGGAACAAACGGAACATCGTCATCATCTGTCGCGGCTGTGACTGTAACGAATGGATTGAACGGTGTGACGCATAATACTTCATCCACGCCCAACGGAGTAATTGATTCAGATACAACTGGGGGTAATGGGGTTATTAAAGCGACCTCCTCCACTAACGAAACCAATAATAGTTCAATAAATACTACTACAACTACCAGCACTAATACTAATTCTACCGCCTCTTCCGCTTTAATTGTTTCATCAGCCGGATTATGGAATAATAGCGCGGCAAACATGCTTACAACTGCCACTACCACAACTAATGGATCAATTGGAACTTCAGGAGTGATGGGTATCGAAATGGCATCATTGGCAGCAATGGGACCTGTAATGCCAACCGCAACATCACAATCAGTTTACGTTCGGAATATTTGAGATTTTCCAGTGGCTTGAATTTTAGAGAGGGCTGGCTGATTTGATGATAATAATAATTATTGTATAAATTTCTTTGAACAACTAGTTTTGGGATTTAATTTTGAATCCCTCTATGTATATATTATATAAATGAAAAGGTTCGAAAACTTAGAAAAGGCTGGAGTGTGGATTTATATAAGTTGCGCGGCTAAAGAAATTTCTTTGATGGTGAAGACAGTTAGGTGATTAGGCTTTTACTTTTTTTCTGTTGGGTTTGTTAGATTAGACGTAATTGGAGTGTATATAATCAATTGTTATTAGTTTATTATGTTGGAAAGATGAACATTATTTTTTCCTTTTTACTAAATTTATTTTTTTCTGAGATAGTTTGGTTTTTATTTAGTTGAAGTTTGTTTTCATCGCATCACAAAAAACGTTTTCATTTTATTTATCTCCCCGTTTCAACAAAAATCCTGTCTATCCTACCAATTATCACATAATGCCGCATACAAAAGTATAGTTACGATGATTATTCTTTTTAAAGTGCGAATTTAGAATTTTTCACGTAAATATTATATATAAATAAATAAATAGACAACCAAATACAATAATAATTTCATCACATAATTCTTCCTTCCTGAATATTTTATTTTTCAATGAATAATTATTGTTTTTGAATTTTATTTGTCGTTGATTATCCAAATAATTTGTTTTGGATGAAACTTAATGAAACTTAATGTACATATGTTTTTAACTTAAGTTGTGGGGTGACCACAAGTTATTAATCCCAATAGTCCATTGCCCTAGGACGATGCAGTTTCGAAACTCTAGTGATAGCGCTACTACTACTACCACTATCCCTGACATGCTCATCCGATTTTTGCCTCTCCACATAATACTTAGGCTCTTCCTCCGCCATACGTTTTTTCTCTTCTTTATGATAATTTTTTGTCCGATGATTTGATTTATTATCATTTATGTCTTTATGTTTACCTGAACGTTTTTTGGATTTCTTCTTCGAAGACGAGCGTTCCTTTTTATGACGTTTAGATCTGACTTTATGACGGCGATGAACAATTTCGCTACTACTACTTTCAGAAGAACCGGTCTGAGAATAATTTGAATCTGAATCATCTTGTTTTTTGTGTTTTTTAGAAGCGGAAGAACGCTGCTTGGAGCTAGTTGATTTCTTGTGATCTTTGTGGCGGCGACGAGCATATTCGTCGTCTGAGTCATCTCTCTTTTGTTTTTTGGAGATATGTTGATGCGATATTCGAAGCTCTTCATGGTGACGGGTAGAATCATCTGCAATGTTCTCTGTAGTGGATTTTGTTTCTTTTACAGATGAAGATATATATTTTTCTTCCTTGGCATTGGTGGTTTTTGATTCATCACGAGAAGAAAATGAACGCTTACGATTCGGTTCGGTTTGTGGAATATCATCGAGGAAAGACAGTGGTCCAGTGGTAGTAGATATATGATCATCTTTTTTAGTATTGGGCGCTGCCTCAGATGATTTAAAATGGGATGAAGTTGATGATAGTAGTGTCCGATCATGGGCTCTATCCGATTTTGGGATAAACATCGGTCGAAATGATGTTTCTGATTTCTCTTGTTTAATAATAGGAGATGACGAAGATACTGAAACAATGCTAGTGACTTGAGTGCTTATTGGTTCATCGGGCTTTGGTACATCTATCGAATGAGAGACTAAATTTGGCGGAACCTTTCTCGTGTAAAGTAGAGTAAAGGTTAATAACTTGATTAGGAAAATTAAAAATTATTATAGTTCTCACCTTTTTATTTGAAGTTTCTTGCTCACTTTCAGAATCTGATTCCGATTCAAAGATAGCCTTAAATATATCCATAGAAGGACGTACGTAATCGATAGCTACCGTCTCTTTATTCTCCGAATCGAGCTTAGATTCTTCAGACACCTTTTTTTGCAAACTTTCAGACTGCGTTATTGTTTGAGTGAATGTCGGAGCGCTGCTATTATTAGGATTGTTCACAAATAACTCTGTACTTCTCTCTTGCATTATTTCGTCCATTTTTTCTTTACTTAATGGCTGTTGCTGTCCTTTTTGCGTTTTACCAGTCGACGAATCACTTTTATGTTCCGGGTGTGGATTTGCAATGTTGAATCGTTTGCATAAAAGACGATTTGGGTAAAATTCTGTTCTTGTGCGGGTGAGAGCACCAAACATGTTCATCTTTGCTGCTGCTTCTGCCGCCGAACGTGAATCTTCAACAACAGTGGTAGAGGTTGTGGTTGATAATGTTGTGGATATTTCTTGTGATGACTTTTTACTGGATGGAGCTCTTAATCCTCCTTCGGGCTGTTTGAATTCTTGAATTATAGAGGATGGACTGGCACTAGCGAAACGAGATGCAATCATGCTTGACATTGGACGAAATATACGGGCTGCTTTCGCAAAATCATCTAGTTCTTTGCTAAATTCATCAACAGTATAATCCTAACACACAATCAACATATTAATTGTTTAATTTATAAAAAATGAACACAATCTCACAATATATTTAGAATTACCTCCGGAAGCCTCAATTCAACTTGGGATAAACCAGCCTGATATTCCAGGAATTGCTTATATCTGGTTTGCTTCGGTAAATTATCACCAAATGGTATAAATCCCCTCAAAGCTGCCATAGCAACATCTTTTTCAACTTTAGGTATAACAAATTTTGGCGGCACGGTATATTCCGTCTTAATTTCAATGTGAGCCTCAATCAAGTTACTGAGCCGCTCTTTGTCTCGACGTGAAACGAAATCAAAGACAGAACGTGCAGGAGCTTGTAAAGGATTCTCGCCCAGTTTCGCTGCACGCTATTAGGTCAAGATGATGAGAAAAAAGTTCATGACCTTTTCTAACTTATAAATGCAAAAGAGAATTTAGTTTACCTGATCAGCGATAATAGCCAAAGTAGTCACTTTTTGACTAGTTTCGCTCGGCATAGTTTTTTGAGTTTCTGCAGGACCAGGTGTATCAAAATAGTGAATCGGCACGAATCCTGTCGGTATCCCCGGTGGTGTGAACCTGATTAATTTATGAGCATCGCGCGTGTTCAACTAGAACTATATGACGATCTCAAAAGGCAATTTAAAAATTCTAGATACTTGCCATTTATTGAGAGGAAGAGGCCGTCGTGCCAAAACAAATCCAGCTAATGGTTCACTGCCGTCATAACATAATCGCAAAGATGATATTTTTTTACTGGATACGAAAGTTTGTGGTTTTTTGTCTTGCTTTCTTCCTACAAATATAGCCTCCTCATCTTCATCTATTAATAAAGTCTGATAGTCTCGAATTGAAGTAGTGTCGTATATATCCTCATCGTCCTCGTCTTCTAAAGCACCGACACCAATTCCGCCTTTCATGGGCAATGAACTTGCTGTTTTAAAGTGACTTTGCTCGACTAAATTTCGAGAATTAACGAATTAAATTAAAATTTGATATGGAAATAATGTACAGAAAGTATTTTTTTTTTATTACGCACCCTTTGAGTTTGATTTTACTTTAGAAGCAAATTCCGGTGCATTTTTATATGGATCAAACCCAAGTCCGTAAGTATTGACTTTATGGTCAAATTTAATTATCGCAGAATCTTTTGGAGCAAAAGAAATTTCTTGGGTATACACCTCATCTTCATCATCTTCCTCTTCTTCATTGCCATCATCTTGTAGTTTCCTCTTGTGAACACGAGGTCCAATGCCCTGACCTTGGCGCCACCCCATCTTCTTCAACAATCTCACGCCTATTTACATGTTATTGTTAAATTAGAATCGTGTAAAGATGTCCGCATTTCTAAAAAATAATTAATAATACGCACCTACAGGTTCCTTACTAGGCACAATTAAATCTTCTATCAGTCGTTCAGAAATAACCGAAAATCCGCTAGATTAAAAAAACTACTTTAGAAAATTATGCAACAGCAAACCAGTGTTCTGATTTAATATACGTTTTTTACCTTCTGCTTTCCTTAATAGAGGCAGTTAATGCTTGTTTCTGTGCTTTTTCGCGTTCTGTAGAACCCAAAAAATCAAATTCCTCAGTTGTCACCAATTTTTGATTTTGACCTAATTCCTACTTCCCAATGACAGAGAATCTAATTTAGACACCTTTTTAATAATATTTATCAAATATAAGCATGGAAATACGTAAATAAAAAATCAACCTCGAGATCCTCTTCGTCCATGAAATCTTGAGGCAAGCTTTCTTTTTTTGTGGATCTGTTTGACCGTGAAGAAACAAAAGTGGATGGAGTCCATCCTAAATAAAAATTAGATTCTAGCTGGAAATGATATTATTTAAAATAATTCGAACAAAATATGTACCTTCTTTCGAGCCAACTGTATTGTAGTATCCCGCAGACCAACCACCTTTGAAAGCTCCATGAAAACGCCTCAAACCATTCTCGTCACGAACCTAAATAAAAATTTATTGTTAAGCAAAGAAAACCATGAATAACGAAACGTTAATAGCGCACCTCTTGTTTCCAAATTGGTTGAAATTTTCCCTTGTCTTCAGAGCTTGCAGAATCAAGCTCAGGCAAGAGAGTGCCATATATTACAAAAGTTTCATCAGTTTTTTCATTCACTACCTCATCTTCGTTGACTTGATCGGGTTTTGATTTTTTTTTATAAGACATTATCTTTTGAATGAGGTTGAACAATATTTTCCACGAACAACTGTGCAAAAATGCTAGTCACGAGACAGAACGTGTCATTTATTTTGTATTTCAGGATATACGAGATGAAAAAGCCACGTGGGGAAAAGATTCATATGTATTTTTTTCTTTCAAGCAAAGCAAAAAAATGTAAAATGTCCAAGAGGTTCAGAAATGGAACCCGAAGGATGTTATTACTTTTCTGGAGTATAAAAAAGATTAACTATTTCTTGACAACGATGACGTCTATATAGTCAAAAAAAAATGAAATTACCAGTTTAAACTTCCTCAGCTTAAGTAGAGAGCGTGTGGGTTGCAGCCAGGACCTGCAAAAAGAATCTCGGACTTATTCAATAAAATCAAGGGCGAAGAGCAAGGTAAGTACCATGACTGCATTTGAATATTCCAAATCTATACTACCTTCGCGATAATTTCATCTAACTTGTGCCTCGCTAACATTAGAACTTATGAAAAAAAGAAAGGCAGAGGAAGAACGTAAATTTATACAGAGTTGGTTTTCTGTACACTAATAATACTTTTGTTCCTTCAATCATTAATTTTTTTTTGCTTAATCAGTTAAGCTAAAGAAAAACTGGGAAGTAAATTATCCCATTCTACTACATAGCGTTCACTCTGTATATTTCGTGGATCCAAAAGAAGAGAGTCGTAACTACTTTTTTGGAGAACACTCGGTACGTCTCTGTAATGTAATGCTCCCGAATTACTTGGTCCTCCAAAAAAATCCAAGAATTAATTTTGCAGATGATTTTTGCAATGTATTTCAACAAACTGAGTGGAAGTCTTTCGATAAGAATTTTGATTTTGTTGTTCTCTTTTTCGATGAGTCGATAAATTGAACGAAGCAACAAATGAAATTAAAGCCTCATACCTGAGTACTCTTCGTGACATCAAGATCGATAGTCCAAACTACAGTATCCACTCTATTGTCATGATTGGCTCCTTCAGTATCCTTTATATAGACTCAGAAAGGTTAACTACATCACCTTTCAGTTTCCGAACTCATTTCAAAATCCAAATTTTACGCTGGAACAAGTACAATTACTATACAAACAGTTTGCGAACGATTTCGATCTAATAATTGACCAGGAGGTTATCGAAGACATATATATGTAAACGAACGGGTGAGTAACTAGAATTATATAAAAATATCTTTATTAAGATCCTTAATTATCTTACTCTGTTCTTTTTTGAAAGGCATGCTGGTCTTGTCTGCCTTTGCGGACGTGCGATATATAGAAATCTAAGAATGGGAATACACTTGAGCTAGCAACGTTTCGCTGTCTCCTCATTAGGAAGTGAGATTTTAGAGCACCCAACATTTATAAGAATGAAGAATACCCTTCTGAGGAATGATATTAATACCAAGCGTGCGTGAAATTCCTCCGATCCCAATTTCTTGATGAATAGTGATTCTATACATGTTATTGAGCAAAACAAAAAGGATTTAGTTTTATTCCTCACGGCCGAAGGAGTTCTAATTCTGGAGAAGATGCTCAGACATTTAAGATTCCTTCGCCTTTGGTACACTGGCTAGTCCTTCAGCGAATAACTTCCCAGGCGTTTCCGAATTCACCCAAAGTAGAAGTCCCCTATAATCTTTCCACAGGTAACTTAGATGTCTTTGAGGCATTGAAACAAGTTGTCTGTATATTTGATCAGGAAACAATAAAGTCCTGTAACGCTTTTAAGTTAGCACGTGTGCTAATCAATAATGCAAAAAATTAAATAGTCCCTAGAGAATCGGTGTATGATTCAGAGTTTTACCGGATCATGTTGAATTGGCTTGGTTATCTACAGTAACTGGACAGTGGCATCTAAAATATCGTGATAGTGTGCATATTAATAATAAATATGACGACATTCATCTCACAACCTGATCATCCCAAATCATCCAACCATTTGCGTTCAGACTTTTAGCTACAGCAACAAAAAAGAGCTCAATGAACGGGCGCTCCTATATGAAATTTGAATTATCTGAATTTATCAATCTTATTATTATAGAATGATTAATTCTTCTTGATATTAATTATATTCATATTCTCTTACTTCTTAATTAAAATCAAATTATTTAATAAAAAGATATATATTTATTAGTCTTCTATATAATAATATTATATTTAAACTTAATAATATTCTTTAATAAATTAAAGTCAAAACTTATTTTATTTCATAATCTTTTATTAAATATAATTATTAATAAATAATTATACTTAATTTTAAAAATAAGTAGATCTTATTTTAGTTATAATAAAAAACTTTATTTTATATAACTTTAATTTATATTAGAAATAAATCTTATTTAAAGTATATAATATATATTTTTTTCTAAATTATATTATTAAATTATATATTATTATTATTTTAAGATTATGCATATATAATTATTTTAAAATAATAATAGTGATTGTGTTCATGACAGTTATTTATTTTTATAGCTTCAAGAGATTATATAATTGATTATCCTTTTAATAAGATGATATATGTGAGATTTACTTCTGACAAAATATGATTGTCTTCTTAATAAGATAATTTATATGTGTTTTACTTATAATAAAATATGATTATCTTCTCAATAAGATAATATATGTAAATTTACTTCTGATCAAAATGCTCTTTCAATAGAGCAAGAAGAAAATAAAATAAGATATAAGATAAAATATATGTAT